AATGAGAGAGAGAGAGAGAGAGAGAGAGAAAGAGAGAGAGAGAGAGAAACATAGAGATAGAAAGCAAGAAATCAACCCCCGGGGGGATGGCCACGCCACAATCCTTTCTCCTCCATTCTCCTCTTGGGATCTTGGGCACGCAAGCACATGTGCCCGGCATGAGTTCCAAGCCACCGAGTCCGGGACTTGAATCCTGGTCGACTACGTGGGAGTCCAGCGACATAGCCATTACGCTAACTGCTGGTCCCCCAAGTTAGTTATTTTTGAAGCAGATTTTTCTAATGTCTGAGAAAAATCTGCTTCAAAAATAGCACAAAAATATTTTTTATATAATGAAATAACTATATCAATATTTTTTTAAAAAACACTTAAATGTAGGGACCATCAGATGGCATAATGGTTATGTTGCTGGACTCCCACGTACTCCACTGCAGTTCAATTCCTGGAGCTGGTGACTTAAAACTCATGTCAGGAGTGTATGCGTACATGCCAAAGATCCCAAGAGGAGAATGGAGAAGAAGGGACTGCAGTATGGCCATCCCCGATTGGGGTGGGGGGGTAATTTCTTGCTTTCTGTCTCTCTGTCTCTCCAGCAAGTGCATGTGCCCTATAGCAAAAATCTCTAAAAAAAAAAAAAAAAAAAAACAAACGAACAAAACAAACAAACAAACAAAAGGGACCAGCAGTTGGTATAATGGCTATGTCGCTGGACTCCCATGTAGTCAACTGCGGTTCGAGTCTCGGACCCAGTGGCTTAAACTCACGCCAGTTGCATGTGCGTGCCCAAGATCCCAAGAAGAGAATGGAGGCAAAGGGATGGTGGTGTGGCCATCCCCCCACCCCGGGGGTGGGGGTGATTTCTCGCTTTCTGTCTCTCTGTCTCTCTCTGTCTGATGAGTGGATGTGCCCTATAGCAAAAATCTCTCTCTCAAAAAAAAGGTAAAAACTACATTTTTAAATGTAATCTTAATTAAATATCTCTTAGTAAAATTGCACCCTTTTAAAATCTTGATTAGACTTACCTTAAAATGCAAAAGGTAGTGGGACCAGCAGCTTAATGGTTACATGTCTGGATTCCCACAGAGCTGACCACAGTTTGAGTCTCGGACCCCTCCACTTAAAACTCATGCCAGGAGCATGTATGTGCGTGCCCAAAATTCCAAGAGGAGAAGGGAGAGGAAGGTATTGAGGCATGGCCATCCCCCCTTGGGGAGGTGGTGGTTTCTCGCTTTCTGTCTCTCTGGAGAGTGCATGTGCCCTGTAGCAAAAATTCTCTAAAAGGATACAAATGGGTAGCATCATTTTGGCTATGAATAAAGATCACTATCTTACACAACTTCATTTTATTAATTAAATACCAGATCCAATCAAAGATCTTAGAGTAACTTGTAATTGCTGATTCTCTAAAAAGTCATTGTCCAAAATAATATGACTATGAAGATGATTAGAAACTAACAAGCATCTATTTTCAGTTTTCCTTTAGTGTTTATGGGCAACGTCTTTACAACTCACCTTTTTAAATCACCACTATTATTATCATAGGGAAAAAAGTATTTAATAAGCTACTTTTGATAAGTGTTATCTTATAAAAATATGAGTTTAATATAAATATTCTATTCTGGCATTTGATCTGTCTGTTGAATTGGCTTCATTGTTTCATCCTTATCTCTTTCTCATGGTTGGCCTCAACGCGAATGTATTTTCAGGGGTGTTTAAGTGGAGATCTCTTTCTTTAGATAATCTTTTCCCTGCCATTTATATTCTCTCTACATCGTATACTCACCTTGTTGATTTCCTAGACAGAAGCTCTTCCAACCTTTGACGTGCTAACGTTCTTAATGTTTTCTTCTCCGTGGGATAGAGACCTAGCCTAACCAAAGAATCTGTCATGTAGTAGGAGATCAATAAATAGCTGTTAAATGAGTAAAATAATCAACAGCTACTTTTATTGATTATGAGACTTTGAGAAGCAAACATCCACACATGTACCCTTCAGAAATGTCAAAGAAGCTGAACTTACACCATTACAGAGGGAGGGCAGTGCTGAGACAATCCTAGAGAATGGGGCCAGGTGACAGTACAGTGGTGATGCTACTGGATTCAAGTGGGAAAGGTCCTAGGTTTGCATCCTGGGACCTCCCTGAGCACACCAGGTGCAGATAGGAGGTGGATTGTGGCATGGAGACCCTGTTGTGGGTGTCTCTCTCTCTCTCTCAAGATTTAAAAAAAAAAAACTTTTCAAAAGGAAATTCCTCTCTAATTCCATTGTCACTAAATGTCCTGTTCAGGGGAAAAAGGGGACATTATCCCCATAACCTCAGTTACAAAGTAGCTCTTCTTCCCTTTTGACATTAACAGAAGAGGGTCACTGCTCTCACCCGCACATGTCCTGAGGTCTCATGGCTGCTGCAATGGAAATTAGTCCTAAGGGCTCTAACAGCCACACTGAAGCTTTTCCAACACATAGCCTTATCAAGAATAGCTCTATTTCTGCTAATACCTATTACAATAATTCTTAGCTACGAAATTAATAATGATTGTAGGCAGTCTATGAATTCACAAAATAAATAGAACATAAACATAAAACGTAAAATACTACGTTCAATATTTTAAGTGGCAGGGTGGTACACTTAGTCCTCTGCAAGGCTGACCCACAGGGAACATTCCAGGCCCACACCCAGAGACCTCGTGTGTACGGAAGCATGTGCATGCCTGTGAGCTAGGACTGGCTGAGGCTGGGGATAGCTCGCAGCATCAGGACCCTATTGTCCCTCTGTTGCTCTCACTCATGGGAGGAATAAATAAATAATATTGAAAAAAATTAGGTTCATAAAGTGAAAATTTTGCTGTATACAGGAGCCCTCAGTATTACTTGGATACCTGATAGATGTGGATAAACATAAGCAATCAGGCAGGGCCTACTAAAACCACTCTGTGCAATGACAGTGGTAGCAGGTGTTTATGGGGGTGTTTATAGACACTAGGCATTATTTTACCTGCTTTCCACTCTGGACTCATTAGCTCTGGAAGACACCAAAGGAGGTAGGCACTATGGCCTATATTTTGCATATGAAGAAACTGAAGTACAAAATATCACATCTCCAAAGTGACACACCATAGTTGGTGAAAATGGAATTCAATCCCAGGCCGCCCGCTTCCCAAATCTGTGCTCACAATCAAAAAGAAACACTGTACGCTTAGAAGCACTCTCTGAGACAGCATTTGCTCAGGTG